CCTATGGATTTGCGTCATTTTTACGTAACCCATCAACATGTGGGTGTTCTAAATCTTTATATATCATGGACTTCATACCTAAGAAAAATTTTATTGCTTCCCGGTCGGCATTTTCGTCTGGAATATGCGTCGAAATCGTTACATTTGTTTGCGACTTACGCCACAAAGAAGTGTATGTTTACGCTTTATTATATTAGAATATACGTAGCCCATGTTAGATTTGGAAATCTTGCAATAGGTACTGCAGTTTCGGACCTTATTCAATGCAAACAAGCAATATTATAAATGGGAACATTTAGATGGATAAATAAATATTTGTAGCTTATAATACTGAACATATATCAATGGAATTTGGTATAGATGTAGACGAATACATGGGTGACTTTTACTTTTGTAAATCAAAGTCAGAGTCGAGGGCGAAAGCTAGTATTAGTATAGATTACTACATCGAATGTCCCTTATATCGATTCCCAGACAAGAGTATCAATTCATGTGTTCTATCTAACTGAAACAATTGACAATAACAAAGGGTCAAGTACTCGTATTGTACTATACAAAGGCAATGAATGAACTAAATATTTCTCTGTTAAAAGGGCAACGAACCTCGTAACATTTCCGAGTCGATTAGCACGACTTTAAAGACAGATTTAGTGCATGTTAATTCTCATTAGCATAAAGAATACTGGAATTAAATCTTTGTTTAGTTTGTGTATTTAAAGTTTTTAAGACTCGATAGTTGTCATATATCTTTGCTATTAGCTTCAAGCGAGTCACTGTGCAGACACATTTTTAAATGCAAGGACATATATATATACGAAGGGAGGATTTTGCTCAGATATACCTTATACCTTGAAAAGCGTAATTATATTAGCGTAGACATGGTGATGAAGCCTGCACGATGGCGGAGGATTTCAAAGATATGTGACGTCAACCAACTTGCAGTGGGCCAGCGTGGTTGACTATGGCCTAGCCCTTAGAGTAGGCTCCGAGACCCTCAGTGGATATTGAGAGCGTGATGATGTATGCTTATTGAATTTTTTTACATTTGATTTACTACCTTGCGTTAAATTCTATATCAACACTTTTTTATTTGTTATATCGTGACTAGAGGATTATTGTAGATACTATAAAAATTGTATCAACATACATTTTCATTAGTAGTTGGCAACTAATAATGGTTGCCATAGACATATTTAACTGATGTTACTAAAAAGACGAAAAGTTAATTTTTTTTCTTTATGTAATCAATCAATTTTTTTACATCTTTTCCAGTTCACACTATTCTTTGTAAAGTTGAAAAAGTAACGATGTTTTTCTTTTGTTTTTAAGGGCAATGTAATTTGTTTTTATGCCAGGAAATCTGGTTTCAAGGTAGCATCAAGGCTGCAAACTGCTACTATCCGTTAAAGATCGATTTGTTTATTAAAATTTCTTAACTAATAGAACTTAGATGTTAAAAATTAACTATGTTTTGTATTGCTTAAGAAAGCGTCAGTTATAGCTCTGTATTATTATTAAATAACTAGCTGTTCTCCTACGACTTCATCTGCATAAACTTATGAAAATGTTATTTTATTGTTTACATGTGTCAAATAATCAATTGCACATGTCAATACCAATTACCTTACTGCAATTTTGCATTCTTGATATTGGGAGCAACTTATGGTCTCTTTCCCACATTAGGGTTTTTATCCAAAATATTAACCCCCTATGTTTAATGGCGTGAAAATATATAGCCTAAAGCATGACTTAAGTGTAGAGCTTTTTATTACAAAAAGAATGATTCAAAAATATGCTAAATTGCTGACATCATAGGTAACAAAGAAGTGTGTGTTTATGCTTTATTATAATAGTGTAGATAAGAGAAATCTATTATCAAAAATGTTAAAACAATTAAAATGTGACCATGGGTGTTGCTAAACCAAAAGCAATTGCACTACCCAAGAATCCAATGAAATATACATATAAACTACTCTAAAATACTAGGATACAACACAATTCTTGTAAATACACATGTCAGTTGTTTACATTTACAGTATCAATCTTAGGGTGGGTTGCACCATATCGCCGGTTACCGTTAAAGTTAAAATTATCTGTAACGGTAATATTTGGAATAACTTTAAAATTTACTAAGGGTGAGTTACATTAACTAACTATAAACCTTAACCAGCACATTCCCGATGGTTACGTCTGCGGATGTTCATGATTTTCGCTACACCAGTTTTGCGCTGGTCAAAATGACGTCATATTTGACACTAATCATAACCGCCCGATTTTGGGCGGTTATAGTTAGCGTTACGGTTAGTGTCAGTTCGGTAGTGTCAACTGTCACAAGCTCTTATCTTCAAAAGTACAAATAATGGAAAAAGTAATGGAAAAAGAAAATCTCTACTATTATCCTATACGTAATCCAGAAGAATAAAGTCTCGCGTGCTCGGAAATAATGGATTTCCAAGATGGAACTCGAAATTTGGCCAAACATTCAGTTTGGACAAATTTCGAGTGTCTAAGGCCATAGCAACAGCGCTTGTCCCTTTTCTCTTATTTAAAAAAATGTCCTCCATAAAAGGACAATTTATAATATGCATTGACAGGACAATTTATACTATGGAAAATAAATAAGATGCATTTATATTTGTATAATTTTATTGGCTCATTTTTGGCGCTACATATTTGAGTAGTAAAGTAAATACAGTTTCAAACATGGCCCAAACTAGTTTATTTTCTCAAGAGTGCCATTTTCTCCATCTCCGTGGGCAAAAAGTTTATGTCACTATAAAATACCATGCGTATGATACATAAATGTAATCGGCGAAACATGAATTTCCAAACATTTTAATTTACGTAAATGTCATTCTTGACACCAACTTGGCACTTTAGTGACATTCAGGTTTAAATGTTTCCATTGTAAAAACGAAAAACACATAAAACCTCTGTGAGAATATGTTTTTGCACTTGTAACCCTATTATAACTTTTACGATAACCAGCGATTTGATGCAACTCACCCTTAAAAATAAAAAAATTAACTATGTTCAATAAATAATGAACATGTACTTTTTATTGTCTATGCAATCTTGGTAATTTTTTTGTATCATGGCAACACTTACATTAATTCACTTCCTTTTCCAACACATTGCCTTCTTGTCTAAACTAATATAGTGACTGTATCTAACTTTCGTGGTATTTATTACATTAACAGAAATAAATATCTAAAATATAAAACTCTGCTTTCATTTAATGAACAGAGTCTGTGGTCCTTCGAGTCGGATCTGAACCAGCGACCTATGGATCTTGTGTACAGTCCTTAAGTCTAGATTAGATCATAATCTATCGGTGCTCATGGATGTTATACATTAAGATGTAATGCAAGTGTAACAAAAACAATTAACAGTGGTCCCTTTGAAGTCATTATCCTTTATATTCTCATGTTTGAGAACATCAATTTGTAGCAACGACAGTTATGAATGAACAATTCTACCATATTCACATAAAGATAAACTTACACTATACTAAACAAAGCTTTGCAGTTTAATGAGTTATTTCAAATTAGGCGAAAATAAACCGTAATAATAGGGTTTTAGAAATCAATTTACAATGTTACAATAAAATTTTACTAAAATAAATGAACAACATTTCAATGTTTCTCTAGAATAACTTTGAATCATGCTAAAATTTTGTACAGATGTAGAACATATGCTGAAAGGACATGGGTTATAATTTTTTTTTTAATTACGCGCAATAACAGTTTATGAAGTAAACTCTTTTATATCCTAACTGAAAAGCTTAAATTTACATGTTAATTAGGGGACAAACATATTTAAAAATAATGGATGATTATTTTAACATTTAAAACCTAGAAAGAGGTTAATGGATTGCATGTAAGGTGACACGATTGCATGAAGGTGAATAAATGTAGTACTAAATCTAGGAGATAGTCAAATTAATTTCACTATACCATTAAAAAAAATAATTAAAAACCCAATATGGCCGCTTGACCTTGTTGACACAAATCAGTTTTCCTGCTTGTATTATTATTCAATACTTATTGTATGCATATTACTTTAAGATTATACTTTATAAAGTCTTTAAATGTGAAAAGAAATTCTAGTTTAATTAAATAAAACCAACTGTTAACCCACAACTTTATCTGCAAGGATTTTTAAATTTCAAAACTATCTTTCTCCCCTTATTTAAAGTCTAAATCATCTAGTAATTATACAGGTATCTAAAAACAGTTCAATTATTAATGATTACTGGTTTTCTACTAGTGGATTCTCATTAAATTTAAGACTAAACAAAGATAAAAATGGCTCTGTATACCTATTTGATTAAACTGTTTTTAAAACAGATAAGTAATAGCGGAGAATAACAATTGTATGGTTTCTAAACACGATAACAGGTGTAATGCATTGTTAGATTACAGAGCTTGTACTTCCTCTTTAAGCCTATATAAAAAATAGAAAAACAGTCTTTTTTTTTAATCTTAGTTAGGTAAAGGGATATTTTGTTTTGGGAAAGACATGCCAATCCCATAGTGCTGCTAGTAGATCCTAAGAAACGAGCTGGCATAATCGTACAGCCGCTTCAGATGCTGGCTCAGCCAATGTTGATATAATTATGCCTACATCGGACGGGTTGAGCTTTAGCTACCGGAAAAAAACAGTCTCACTAACCTGATGCTCGTTAAAATATTTCAATGCTACAAATGTTTCAAACACACATATAACGGATAAATTAATTTATTAGGACAATAAAAAGTACCGTCATAACTTATCACTTAAACTTTGAACGTTATTGATAGAAGGTATCGCTTATAATTTTAGGTTAAGTAATTTTTAGAGTGCGATTGCACTCCGATTCCGATTGGAATTGATATTAAAATGCAAAACAGGTTAAGAAAATTACCTATTTCAACATTTAATGTAAAGAAATGCATATAAGACTAAAGAATTATCTTTAAATGTGTAAAATGACACAAAACAATCTGAAATTGACTCACCCTCCGGCTCCGGTTTAGAGTCTTTGTTAGTCATTTTTCAACACAGATGTACTTAGTTTGTAAAATACACTTTAATTGGAAACTCTATACACAATGTTAGTAATAACAATAGTTTTTTTTTTATTTATTTATTATTGTTTTCAATATTAAAATGAATTTGACATGACTTGTCACTTTATTTCTGACATTAGCGGCAAAGATTAAAAAGTAGAACAATAAATTTTTGTAAACGTCAAACATGTGAATAAGATGAATTTTAAAACAAATCAATTTATTAAATATTTTTTACGATGAATGAGCAGTTTCAAGATAACTGCATTATTATTAATTTCTTTGGATAATGTGCGAAAATCTGTAAAAATGTAAAAATACACACCCAAATGTAATTCTTTTAGTTGTATATTCTTTGACCTGTACCTGTTGTGACGTGAGATGTCAATAAAATGAGATGAGAAAAGAGATGTTTCCGTCATTGTCATTTTACGAACGTTTTGTTTGAATTTTAAAAAGCACAAACAAAAATAAACACTTTTATAGAATTATATTATTTCTAAAAAGCTTATTTACCGGTTTATTTTTCTCCATTTCAGATATAAATGATAATGTGAAGAGGACATAAGCCAAGATCAAAATAATAACTTGAATCAAAGGGGTGAAAAATTTGATCAAAATGTCTACCTTAAATCCAGCCCCGATAGAAAATGGTGTTGGTGATGACGCTCGGTAATATTATAATATTTTTATTGTAAACAAAAAAAAAATAGAAGCTTAACAATATTTTTTAATTATTTTGAACTCGAATATTTTTTTTTCGCAAAAAGACAAAAACATTCAGTAAGACGTTTTGCTCGAGTATTTTTATATGTGGGACTTTTACAAAAAAAAGTATTAAAACTGGCTGTATCTCTTTATTCTGGCAGAATCCAAGTATACTTGAGTTCATTTAATTTTTATGATGAAAGTGGTCAAAATGGGCGCACCTGAGGTTAAATGACTGCTAAGGTCTCACCAATCAGAACTTTCAGTTTCAAGAGTAAACCTTTATGTAGGAAAAATTTGGGAGAAGGAAAATCACTATTTAAAATTAGTCTTAACTTTCTCAATACTAGATCCACTGGTACAGTTGCCATGTTCCTTAAGGTTTTTTGTAATTTATGGGTCACAAAATATTTCAAAATCATAATTATGGTGTTCTTATTTATTCTGTATTCTCTTAATCTTTTTTATTTTAATGGAGGAGTCGGGTTCAAAATTTTGCCTGCCAGTGGGATTATACAGGTTACCAAATTTTTTAATGCACACTGCATTTATGATTGGCTTGAAGAATGTGATGCACTTTTAGTAGTATGATTGTTTATAATTAAATATGCTAGTGGTTGTAATCAGGGGCAGCTGCCAGAAGTGTGCGGCAACTCCTACACTGATCCTAATGAATCTATAATCAAAATGTAATAACTACTGTTAATAAGACAATGTTAATGGTGTACCCATCTAGATCTAGCCTAGGTCATCAGCTAGCAATGCCCACACATTATAAATATGTCTGCTTTTAACAATTAAATTTACCATTACATACATATTGCATTTGTATTTATTTTAAGTTATAAATAGCAGTAATTTCAAATTAAGTTGTACATTTGATGTCTGTGCAATTATAAGTTATTTTAGCTTAATGTCAAAGTTATTCTTACCATGTGAATGAAGCATGTTTGTTGTCACTTGATTACTTGCATCTTGTTACTTTGCACATATGTTTCACATAGTTATAAAACAAGTTATTTTTAATATAATTTTATTATAGCAGTAATGATTTCTTTAGATTAAGTCTATTTTTTAACATTTCGTTTAAAATAATTACATTTGTAAGTTTCTAGTAGGCCATATTCTGTAGTCAGTTATTTTTTTTAAAGTTAATACAATGATGAGGTTGGATATTTTTATAATTCTTTTGTCATGAAAAAAAATGTTAAGCTTTTATTAATTTAATATAAAAAATTAGATATCAATTATTTACCATCATCAACTTGCCCTTATCCCTTACGGAGGGTCGGCAGTATGTGCTGCTCCATACATCTCTATCAGTCATATCTGAATCCACTCCCTTCTTAAGCATATCCTCTTTCACACAATCCATACATACTTTCTTCAGTCTTCTTCTTTATAGCCATCCACATTCAAAACAAAACACTTTCTGGTTTATGTCCCCCCATCGTTTCGTCGCATAACATGTCCATACCATATCAATTTATTATTCATTATAATTTAATCAGAAATGTGAATTAATAAATAACTAAAGTCGTAATAAAAATATTTTTTTAGAATTCAACTTCAACAATGTAATCTTAGGTTCGAATCCCATTTTAAAAATTTACACACAGATTATGTTGACTAATTTCTTTTATTTTTTCTCTTCCAGCGGCACCACATATTTCTTTTCCAGGGGTAGATCTAGCGCGTCGCTATGGCAACGGATAAGTCTATTCGTATCCATATATTGGAAATCTCTAATAGTAGTTTTAACACCATTGATATTGCTACCAATTCCTATCTTAAATGCTGGATCAGACAATGCAAGGGTAAGTAGTTGTAAATTTTGAAGGTAGTTGTAAAACATCGCTCAATTGTATCTGAGCCGCCGTTGAGATTGGACGTCTATTGTGTTAATGATAGTAAAAAGCTTTACTCGTAACGTAATAGACATAGTTGAAGGCGTAGTTTTATAGGTTATTTTCTTTACCGAATTATACGATATACAATAGTGGTTAGCTCTGTGGGTACTCTGTGAAATTTTAATGAAATTGCGGTCTAAAATTGTTTTCCTTTCCAGGCATATAAATGCATGTATGTAGTACTTATAATGGCTATGTATTGGGTGTTGGAGTTACTACCGCTACCCGTGACGTCAATGCTACCGATAGTATTGTTTCCAACCATGGGCATCTTGGACTCTGATAAGACGTGTGCAGCGTACATGAAAGAAACAAACATGATGTTTATGGGTGGGCTGATGATAGCTGCTGGGGTGCAGCATTCGAAGTTGCCGAAGCGAGTGGCGCTTTGGACAGTTCAAGTGGTCGGATGTTCGCATAGGAGGTTTGTTTTTTTTTACAGTTTCAGTCTTTGAGACTTCTATGTATGGAAATGCATTGAATGTGTTGAAACTGGTAATATTCTCGTGCTTTAGTTTTCTAGAAAGTTCTAGTAGGGAAACTTACGAGGTTTACGAGGTTATTGACAAGAATGCTTAAGAAGTAATATTTTTTTTCTTAATAGTTGTAATGATAACTTATTTTTTTTTTAAACAATTGTTTAATTTCAGATTAAACTTTGGTCTAACATTTGTGACTATGTTTATATCGATGTGGGTGTCAAACGCGGCTGCCACAACTATGATGGTGCCAATTGTTGAAGCCATACTCGAAGTCTTGGAACAGGTAAATAATCTTATAATCAATTTGCCCTTATCCCTTACGGAGGGTCGGCACAGTATGTGCTGCTCTTCCATACATCTCTATCAGCCATATCTGAATCCACTCCTTTCTTAAGCATATCTTTCACACAATCCATACATACTTTCTTCAGTCTTCCTTTACCTTTGTAGCCATCCACGTAAATAAACTGTTTAATTAATTTCTGTGTTAGAATGAAATAAATTAAGTTTATTCCCACTGATATTATAAAATTATTACTATATACTCTTACTTCTTACTAATATTATAAATGTGAAAGTTTAGATGGATGTTTGTAAGAGTTTGTAGCCTAAACAGCTGAATGGATCTCAATGAAATTTGGCATAAACGTAGAGGATAGTCTGGAAGAACACATAGGCTACTCATTTGTTTTTTTTATTTCCATGCAGACGGAGTCGCGGGCGAAAGCTAGTATTAATGTAATATTTTAACATTCCAGCAAGGTTTGGGAGATGTATACGTGAATAAAAAGAAGAATGCTCTCCCAGAGAATGGCAAAGATATTAAACCAGACAACAGGAATTCAGAAGAAGAGTAAGTTAGAATTAATAAAAAGTACAGTCGGGGAATCTGTTGGTGTTCGACTTGAGATGAACCAGTAACCAATAGGATGCTTTAAAATGTGTTTGTACAGAAAAAAGTTTGACCAGTAGTTGGCTTGTTTTTATTATCTTGTTATTTGTGGAACTTGCTACCTATGGTTATTTGTAAGAAAGCGAAGTTTCCTTGCAAGAATCAAAGTAGAGGAATAAATCCATTGATTACAGTGCAATTTGCTGCACTTATGATTTTTACCAACATTTCTTTAATATAGTGGTCCCTAAAGTTGCATTTAGGGAGACATTACACTTTCGTTGTCACAAACTTTTAAGTGTCACCAAAATTCATTATTTTTCTTTGGATTCAAAGAGAGTCTAAACCAAATACATCTAATTCTAAGAACATTAGAGGCTGTTATTTAAAATAAAATGTTAAGATTAAATGTAACTTTATTTATTTTATGAAAACCTATGTCAATCTTTTAATGGTTGTAACATCAGTTTAGTATTATTTCTAACTTAACTGCTTACTTAAATCAAGCACAGATAAACCTTGACTATATAGCTCTCATCATAGTTTCTCACTTGAATGCTCCCTTAGTGAGTTTATTCAACAGTGGTAGTGCCCGCTTTAACATTTTAGCACTGCAGGGCCGGCACGCCCCCAGTAATACCACGACCACACAGAAGTCAGGCGTGAAATGGAAGCAATTCCGTGTTTCGTCTGATGAGTGTGGTGCCGGAGGCCTAATTTAAGTCCCTTTCTCTTTACCACCCTTTTCTCATAAGGAGAGGATGGGAAAGGGAAGTGGATTTGACGGTGGAGATGCATAGGAAGGGGAAATATCCTCTTTATGTGCGTCTCCTCCTCCATTGTATAAGGGTCGGCAACGCATCTGCAATTGCGGATGTCTATGGGCAGCGGCCGCTTCGCTATTTTGTCGGATTCAGGTTGCCGCTTGCTCGTTTGCCACCTTATGATATAAAAAAATATGGTTTTAGTGTAGTTAAAATTGTGTGTCAGGGCGCCGCTGCCGAGCGATATAACGGTGTGTTACTACCTAAGCATCGCGTACGCGTCCACGCTGGGCGGCTGCGGCACGCTCGTCGGTACCGCCACTAACTCCGCCTTCAAAGGAATATTTGACTCGTATGTATATTACTCAATAAAGACTATTTTCCCTTGAAAATTTATTAATAATACTAATATTATAAATGCGAAAGTTGAAATGGATGGATGTTTGTTAGAGTTTGTAGCCTAAACTGCTGAACGGATTACGATGAAATTTGGCATAGATGTAGAGGATAGTCTGGAAGAACACATAGGCTACTTGCATTTGTTTTTTTCTTTAATTCAGCAAATTCAGCGGAATGCGAAAGTTTAAATAGACCTCTATCCCTCTCTTGCACATAGGGATTCGGCACAGTTATAATCGTCTGGAAGTAGTCTATAGTCTGGAAGAATATAAAAATATTCTCTGCAATCAAAAGCTATATGTATGAAGGAGAAAGATTTGTGTTTTTGTATGTAACGGATGAACTTTAAATCTGTAGGTTTAATAAAAAAATTTTTTTCACCATTAGATAGCTAAATTATCTCTGAGTAACATAGGATATATGTATAACGATTTCGATTACGGTTTAAAAATTATGTAATAATAGTTACTTTTATAGCCGAACACAGATTCAAAGAAAGAGGGTAGTTAAAGAAAGAGCGAGACAGATACATTAGAAGGAAGCGTTCAGAAATGAATTTGATATCTCAGAGTTACTAACAAACTCATAAAAACACAAATCATAGTTCCATCTCTCATACTCATTGAAGACAGAGACGACATGTGTCGCAACAAAGGTGACACGATTACGGAATAAGTAAGAGAGAGACAGGTATATGTGTGTGTTGCAGCGAGTTCCCCGAGATCTCAGGGTCGGTGAACTTCTTCTGGTTCATGGCGTACAGCACGCCGCCCATGCTGCTGATGCAGCTCCTCGTGTGGCTCTCCCTGCAGGTCACCTTCATGGGGCTGTTCAGGTAAACTGAATGAACAATCATTTTGCTTATCTAAAGATGGAAAACAGGAAGGAGCGTTGGAATTAAATATTAAACAGTAAATGAAAATAAATAAACATTTATAATATAAAAAGGGTAAAAAAAGAATGTACAGCCTAGCGATGTCTTTAATAAGTAACTTAAATATTATCAAAAAAAAAAAAAGAATAAAAACAAACTTGTAATTATAAAAATCTATGAATAATAAAAAGTATGTCAAAAGAAGGTAATTACATTGCTAACAGTACTTTTAGGGTATTTGTCAAGGATACCTTAAAATTACAGTCTTTTTGTACCCATTGATACTATGAATAATCAATGGGAATATAGTTATTGTGCTGATTGGAAAACATTTTAAATAAATAAAATAAAAAAGAAATATTTTTTAATTCGTCTACTTACAAAAAAAAATTTTTTTTGTACATTTTTTTTGTAAGTGGAACACCGCGAAAGACTCTGATTGTACATTTTCCCGACTGACAAGATTCATAACGTATGTAGATTCCGTTGTGTTGGTTTTGTTTTTTAATTAACTTTTTTTGTAGACCAAAAAGCGAGGCTGCAAAGAACGTGAACAAGGCGTCTTCTGGTTCCTTTACCACGATGAAGGTGATCAAGGAGCAGTACAGGAACCTCGGACCTATCACCTTCCATGAAAAGGTATAAAAACTTATTCATAGTACTTAATAAACTAAATATTCCAGGAAAAGAATGAAAATACATTCATCTCTACTAATAATAAAAAATGGTGTTTTTTTTTGGATTATTCTATGTATTGAAATAACTTAAAAAATACTGCAACATTGGGAGTATTTTTTATACATTTTTTTAAATTCAATCGAAGTCGCGAGCAACAGCTAGTACTTTACAAGTTCCTAATTTTTTTTAATATCCCAGATCAGAAAAAATAGAGTAAAATCTATAAAAAAATTCTGTTTTTCATAATTTTTTTTTGTCCTACAAACTTGTTTTTTTTTAAATGACTGATTTAAAAAATTAAAGTGTCAATATACTTGTATATCTAATAGTTATTTAGACATTTGAGTGTATTTTTTATACTAACTGTTGCTCGCGACTGCGCTCACGTGAAGTTAAAAAATAAAAAACATAGCCTATATTTACTGATAAATTAACTTTCTAACGGCAAGAGAATTTTTAATATAGGAGCAGCAGTTTTTGAGTCATTTACCATACATACAAAAAATACACATTTTTCCTTTTTATAATATTAGTATATTTTTGAAATAGTTTCGGCATGGTATTATAATTACGATGTTTCCAGGCATCTGGTTTCCTATTCATCCTGGCGGTGTTCCTGTATATCTTCCGCAAGCCTGGCTTCATGCCGGGCTGGGCTGACGTCATCACCACCATGTGAGTAACAGTGGGCTTACACTGCACTAACTATACTTGAAAACCATTTAGGTTAAAAATACATATATGTGTAAATGTAAATAAATACGTAACGTAAAAAGATACGAAGTGGAATTACAGAAAAGGGAGTGTATGTGACAGGGGAGGGGACGCTTAGAAATGAAATTTCCTCTTTCTGTTCGTCGTCTCTGTCAATTAAATGTAAATAACGCATCAGCGTTGTTGTCTAAGGGCAATTGTTTCGCTGTTATGGCGAATTCAAGTGGCTTGATCGTTTACCTTATGATATAAATCATAAAACATGTAGAGAAGTCTTTGCTTACTACTATACTATAAGCGAATGTTTTATATATCGGTTATATCGACTAAATTTTTCGGTTATAACCGGTTACAGGAAGGTGAAGGACGGCGTGACGTCAATGTTCATTGTGGTGCTGATGTTCATACTGCCCATGTCTATGGATTTTGTTAAATTCTTCACTGCATCTGCCTCCTGTAAGTATTTGCACTTATAATTGTTAATTGACCACTAAGAGTCCCACAACTGGCTGATAGAGGCTCAGATAGCTTAAAAATGACGTAATATATTTTACATATTGGATTGTTATCAGACAATTTACAATTTGGTGGGACAGGACTTGTTAACTATTGCCCGTGATTGAACAAAAATCTCAGTTAGTAATCTGTTTTCTAGACTGTTCTAAAGCTTTAAATCGTTTTAGAGATGTGTTTTGTCAAATATCCATCCATTCAAACATTTGCGTAAGTAATATTAGTTGTATATACCAATACAGTAGAACCTCGACAAGTTTAAGTCCAAGGGAAACAAAGTATTTTAAGTTATCAAGGGTCTATGTTGTAGAGGTTTTGGGGTCTAATGGGAAGGGAACGTATTATTTTTTGAAGTTATAGAGGTTTTTAATGTTACCGAGGTTCTACTGTAGTATAAAGTGGAAAGATTTTTATTTTTGTATGTATTTATATAACTCAAAACAATTTGATTTATTACTCAGTAACATCTTACTTATTAATATTATAAATGAGAAAGTTTAGATGGATGGATGTTAGAGTTTGTAGCCTAAACTGCTAAACGGATGTCGATGAAATTTGGCATATGTAGAGGATAGTCTGAAAGAACACATGTTTACTTTTGTTTTTTAATTCGCGAACGGTGTCACGGGCGAAGGATAGTATACTATATAGCACAATGTTCATTTCGCACAAATTATCGCGAGGAAATGTTAGTAAATGTATAGTAAAAATGTATTTCTGAATTTCAGATGAAGAATTAGCAGCCTCAAAGCCGTCTTCTGGAGTGGTGACGTGGGGCATCCTGAAGGAGAAAATACCCTGGGGTCTACTCTTCTTGTTGGGTATGTATTCAAGATTTTATTATATGATACAATGGGGATTATTCACAACCGTCACCCCGCTCTGTCCCCACGTGGGAACAGGTGAGAGTAAAAAGTTTCTTCCGTCCCACGTTTTGCGACGAGGGGACGGTTGGAACTTATTTTATTTTATAACGGTTCCATCTGTCACCTAATTGGTGATTGTGTGACTAAAAGGTGGGACGGATGAAACTTTTTATTCTCACGTGGTTACAGAGCGGGGTGACGGTTGGGAATAATCCAACCATGGCAACCTTGCTTCCTTGATGTCAGCTTGTAATTTATGGTCCTTTCCTACTTGAAGGTTTTTTTCCAATATTTAACACCTAAGTTTAATAGCGTGAAATATCCTAAAGCGTTTCGTAAGTGTTGAAGTTTTAATAAAAAAAGAGTTATACGAAAATATGCTGTGATTGCGGACATCCTACGCCACGAAGTTGTGTGTATTTACACTTTACTATATTAGAATGTAAATATAATTTTTATATTACTAGCTTACGTCCGCGACTACATCCGCGTGGAACTAAAAAAAAAACAAGTATCTTTTTTGTTCTTCCAAACTATCCTTTACATCTATGCTAAATTTCATCGCGATCCGAAGCAGTTACAAACAAACACGCGTTCAAACTTTCGCATTTATAATATAGTATGTGTATTCCAGGCGGTGGTTTCGCGTTAGCTGAAGGCAGCAAGGCGACCGGCCTGTCCTCCATGATCGGCTCCTCGCTGAACGGCCTGCACGGGCTGCACCCAGCGCTGGTGCTGCTGGTGGTGGTGCTCGTCACCCAGTTCATCACAGAGTTCACCTCCAACGTGGCCATCGCCAACCTCATACTGCCAGTCCTCGCTAACATGGTATGACGATACTAGAAGACCTTATTTTACTCACTTTCTAGCCTTTTAGACCACTTTGGACCATTTAGACAACTTTGGAACATTTAGACCACTTTGGACCATTTGTTCCGATTGGACATTTTGGACCATTTGAACCATTTAGACCACTTTGGACCATTTGGACCACTTTGAGAATGACTGAGATAGAGATGTCGTTATAGCTATGGAATTTGTTACCAGTAGAGCTCTTATACCATATTTTTGGCTTCCCACTTGACCACTTTTTTTCTGTTGCATATAAATGTAGAAGGGGAGGGG